AGTCTTCTCCAATGAACTTTTCTTAGAGATTCCTCATCCTCAACTCTCTATAGTGACTTTGTTGACTCCACTCCTTAAGGTTAGTTTCGATCCCCTATTGTTTCTAGAAATTCCTTTCTTATTTTCTTTTTATACTCAAGGGTTCTTCTTGCCGTCGTCATGTCTCGTGACTTAGACTTCGTCTGTGCCCGTTATGAGTTCTCCGGCGACGTTTTCATTAGATGTTGCCCTAGGAATTTAAATATGAGAACTGGTAAGGGTCTCCTGCAAGGGGAGATCCTCTTTTTCACATTTCATCTAAATGTAATTAGATTTCCTCTGTACCTCTTCTTTCAGTTTGTCCTTAACAAACTAAATCTATCCCTTCTGTAAGTGAACCCTAATTTCTTTAGGATCATGTCGATCTTTCTGGTCTTAAACAATGATAAGAACCTAGAGCTTGACCTTTTGGATCTTCTCTTTTGCTATAGGGTCTGTAAGATCAAGCAGAATGACATGTATTATTATTTCTTCCCTCTTGCCGGACGGTCGATCTACTCTGATAACCCTGACTCTAAGAAGGGTTAGAAGAAAGGACTCATAGGGGTCAGAGGGGCCTGGCAAGCTTTTACTTCCAAAAACTTCCCCATCCCAACCGCCTTTGGCAACTGTTCGGTCTCCCTGTATACTAAGTATAAAAAACATAAGATCGGGTGTAAATGTAAAGTTTGTCTTCCTCGTTATTGTTCTTTCCTTTGCTACTATTTGAAAATCCCATATGACGACTTGGGTTATGGCGTTTGCAAGGCTAGACTCCGTATTTTGGAGGAGCAAGTATGGAATAACGTCCCTTTGTCTTTAGGGTTAGTCACTCTAGGAGCTCTCAGCAATATCTCATTTTTAGGGATTTGTATGGATGAACTAAAGATCCCTTCGTTTGGAAGGAAGAGGGGTACTCCCAGTGCTCCTCCTGCCCCAGCTTTTGGGTCTGACAACCCTCTAACTCTGCCCTGGCGAGGGAGAGAGGAAAGTCCCCTATCAGAGAGGGGTGAAGGGTTTGACCTAGACGATGTTCCCTTGGCTTAAAGGGTTCAGACCTCTGGAGCGCCCGAGCCCAATGCTAAAATTCTTAATGAATAATGCCTTGTGTTCTGTTATGTAACAGAAGTATTGTTTCGTAATTTTCCAAGAGAAGTAGAGGACCAAAGTATGGATCTGAATATATTGAGATCCACCAAACCAAGAACATTAAAGGCAACATTTTTTTGGATGTGAAATATTTTTTAGAAAAAATATATATAGTTTTTATTTTTTAGTTTTTGTTTATTTTAAAATATTTACGAAGAAAAAAAATATATTAAAACCTAACAAAAATAACATACCCATTAATTTTCGATAAGTTATTTTAAATGCCTCACCCGAAGAACTCGATCTCAATCTTGACTTATACCTTTGTCAAATACGGAAAAATAAAAATAAAAATATATTTATTTTACCTATAAAAAAAAATGAAAACTGCTTCCTTTTGTCTCCCCTCCAAAGAAGACACTAAAACTTAGCAAGAAGCCATTTTCTAAATAATGTATTAAACTAGAATGAAACTATGGAAAATCACACCACTGAGAATTTGTGGACCTTACTAGAAGCTGTAACACCATTGGTTGCAATTTGATAATAATGAAAAAAAAAAAAAAAAAAAAAAGAAGAAAAAAAAAAAAAAAAAAGAAGAAAAAAAAAAAAAAAAAAAAAAGGCTAAATGGATATGGTCTACAGATTGTTTAAGATAGTACAAACAAAAGTAGGATAAGTTGAATAATGATGGCAAAAGCCAACCAACCATAGTTGACAACCGAAAAATAAAATAAAATAGTCAATTTCAAGTGTTATTTTCTGTGCTAATATCTAATAATATGGTCCTGAATTTGAATTTTTTGAAGTTGGAGTATTTCTTGAATTAGTCAGGTTGATTAGTCTTTGAGTTACTTTATATTTGATTTTTGGTTATATGGGCAAGGTTGTTGTATTGTATATATTCAAAACTGTTATAAAGTCAAGTGAATGCTAAAAAAATCATTTAATCTTTATAGTGTCACAAGTCGCAACTCAAATTTACATAAACAAATATATTTTACAGATCCATAATACGAGGGACTATTGATCCGATCAAAGCTAAAATAATAGGATTGCCAAATTTCAGAATTGTAGATCCAAGGATGAGTACAGACTTGTGGAATAACTAGACTGAGTAAGCGAGTTGAAGCCCGAGTTAATGCAATAATACCAAATTACCGAACTCAAAAAAGTCAACTTTTTGCTGTAACAGTGATAAGATGCTCTTAAACCCAAGAATGCAGGGTCGAGTTTGATAGCAGACTCATTGCATCAAAGCAGCTGAGTACCATCAAAATAAAATAAAATAAAACAAGGAGTTGAAACCAAGTTATTCATTACTAATAAGAAAATTACAAGTTAAATCTATTGTGTTCATTATTTATTTATTTATTATTATTATTATCATTCTTTGACTAGATGCCTCATAAATGTCACATCCTATTGAATTGTTTACCAATTCAAAAGATGATTTTTAATTGAATTTGGGAGCACACCAAAGACTTACTTTCCAAAACTAAAAGAGAGCCATTTTCTAGAAACTATAAACAGACAAAAACATAATATAAGTAAGGTTCACTTTATATATATATATATATCAGCATCACACTATTAGAGAGTTGAAGTCGAGTATATTGGATTTGCAGATCTTCTTAGAATGGGAGAAGTGAAGGTGATTGGGGCTATTATAAGCCTGTTCTGCACCAGAGTTGAATGGGCTCTGAAACTAAAAGGTGTTGAGTATGAGTACATTGAAGAAGATCTAAGAAACAAGAGTCCTACTCTTCTCAAGCTCAACCCCGTTCACAAGAAGGTCCCAGTGCTTGTTCATGATGACAAACCAATTGTTGAGTCCCTCATCATCCTTGAATACATCGACGAGACATGGAAGGACAGCCCCTTGCTGCCTCAAGATCCTTATGAGAGAGCCATGGCTCGTTTCTGGGCTAAGTTTGCTGATGAGAAGGTAGATATTTGGATTCACTTTTCTAATTTTTTTTTTTTTTTTTCCTTTTCTATGAAATGGATTGGATTTGATCCCACATCAGAAAACCAGTAAGTTTTATATTCCAACATGAAAGGGGATGGAGGATATTCATCTAGGATTCTGATAAAATTTGTATAAATTAAAGTGCCCTTGACAAACTACCCTTTATTATTGTTGTTTAGTTTTAGAAACATGAAGTTCAAAACTTTTTATTAACTATGCAATTATTCATTTAAATATATACCAAAGAGTCAGTAGAAATGAAACCTGCTCGAAAATAGTTGGGAAAAGACTTTGTTTAGTTGTGTCACGACATGAAATGAATTGATCCAAAACACGTTTTGATTGATTTTGTATTTATTCAGATTTTGGCCATTAGTTCTAACATCTAACTTGGATTTGGATTTCTTTGGGAACAGTACTGGTATTAAGATATATTGCTAAACTTGAATTTACATTTCATAACTTAATTAATTACAGTGGCATGAGTCTTAGTTTTAGCATTAACAAGTCTAACATCTGTGTTTTTCTATTTGGGTTTAGTGTGTGTTTGGTGCATTGGGAGCTTGCAGGGCTGAAGGAGAAGAGAAAGAAAAGGCGATACAGTGTGCACAAGAATCACTAGCATTTCTCGAGAAACAGATTGAAGGGAAGAAGTATTTTGGAGGAGAAGAGATAGGATTTATGGACCTGGTAGTGGGTTGGATGCCACTTTGGCTCGGCATCATGGAAGAAGCCGGAAACATGAAGCTACTTGAGGCCGAGAAGTTTCCTTTCCTCCATGAATGGGCTCAAAACTTCATCCAAATTCCACTCATTAAGGAATGCCTTCCACCAAGAGAGAAACTGGCCAATTACTTCCAGACTAGTCTCAACTACTTGCGTTCCTTGGCCAACAACAAGCCATGATCATTTTCAGCTTTTATTTGCAGTATCTTAGCAGCTTTGATGTGCTTTGATTTAATAATTAAGCTGGATGGTCTTGTATTGAGGTGTATGATTTTCTTGTTGAATATATTTGGAGAACCAAATTTTAGAGACTCCTCCTTGTTCTTATGGTATCGAATCCCTATTTTGAATTTGAGATTAAAATAAATTTAGTACAATTCTAAATTTAAATTTTAGATTTGATGCAACATAAGTTAACATGATTTCTTTTGCACAAACTGCATTTCAATAATAAAAATATAAGAAAAAGATAGAAGCATGGAAACTGTATCTAACAAAGATGATATTGCATTAATTGTTTGGTTCCTTTAGGGGAAAAAAAAGAAAAGAAAATTGCAAAGGAAAAAAAAAAATTTGGGGAGGGGGTGGGGGAAGAGAGAAGATACTTTATACTCTTTTTTTTCTTTCTAGTTTCGGAGGATAAATTATTAGTAAGAATTAAATATAATGGAGCCAACTAAATTTATTATGAGATACAATTTCCTAAAAAAATAAACATTTGATAAAATAATTAAAAAGAGTCTTTAAAAATGAAATATAACAGGATAATTGACTTATAATTAAAGGAAACAAAAGAATTTATGAGATAGCAGATAGGATGATAAAAGAAAATGAATTTCCTTTTTCATGTTTCCAAATTCCAACCCTTTCCCTCGTGGAAGAGTTGCGTTGAAATCACTTTCATTCTCAGCATCACACTTGACACAACTATTCACTCCGCCAGCCTGAAAACAATCAGCTTAGGGGGAAAAAGAGAGGAGAGAATGGCGACCTTCTCTCACCAAATGAAAGAGAGTCGTTTCATCTTCTGATCCACAACCCTTCAACAAACCACCGGATCAAAAAATATTCAAATAAACCCCAAAAATGTCTTATCCTATCTTCTCTCCTCCGATCCTCCTCCCTACGCCGTTCTCTCTCCAAAGCCACAAATCCTAGATCTCCTTCCCCATCTCCCATCTCTCGCCCTTCTCCAATGGGATTCCTCCTCACCCGTGCCGTCAATTACGCCACCTCCGCTGCCGCTCCGGCGTTATCTCCGTCTCCTCCGAGGACAAAGCCCGGTGGACCGAGTGGGAAGATTACGGACGAGTTCACGGTTGCCGGTGCAATCGGCCGCGTGTGTCGGGTGATCGGTGCCGTGGTCGATGTGAGGTTCGATGAGGGGTTACCTCCGATCTTAACAGCTCTGGAGGTTCTGGATAATTCGATAAGAGTGGTGCTGGAAGTGGCTCAGCATTTGGGTGAGAGCATGGTGAGGACCATTGGCATGGCCGGGACCGAAGGGCTTGCTCGTGGACAGAGAGTGCTCAACACTGGCTCTCCCATCACTGTAAGGCTTTTTTCTTTTTTAATTTTGCTCTACGAAAATTTTGATGTCCATTTCATTATTTTGTATATGAAATGCCATTAAGCTTATTTAAAAATTGAGTAGTGATACTTGCACGAATATTTATAGACGTAAATTCTCTATAATGGTATGGAGTTGTCTAGGCTTATTTATTTGAGTGATTTAACATCTACGGTGCAGATACAAAAGATTTTTGTCTTTTCAATCTGTTTGGCATCCTAAGAAGCAAGGATACGGACACGGATAAGACATGAACACGGTGACACGGACAAATCCAAAAAAATTAGGACACAGACACGGTGGGGACACGGTAAATAATATATATATATATATATATATATATATATATATATATGATGTAGTACTTTAAAAATGACTGAGTGTTATTATTTTTCATCAACCTCACAATGAAAAAAAAACACAAATCATAACTCATGACTCATATCTCATATCTCATAACTAATAAACTATAAAAGAACAATGTTGCATAGTTATAAAACTAAATAAAAAAACAAGACATTAGAATAATAACTAGTATCATTTAATCATCATTGTAACTTTACTCTAAATACAAAAGCATAGACATAAAGGATTATTAACATTCAGAACTTTACTGTTAGTACTTAACATTCACAAAAACCTAAAGGATAGTCCCAAAAAAAGATACAAAAACAAGTCAGTGTACTATCATCTATTCCCATTCATCATTTGACCTAGGACTTTTACCATTTACAATATCAAAAGAGTAGTACAAAACAAAAAACAGAACATATCAGCATTAAAAAAAATTTAAAAAAAAATAAAAAAATTTCCAGACACGTGTGACCGCGGAGTGTCTGTGCCGTGTCCGAAAATTAAAAAAAATAAAAAAATTCCATACACGTTTTTTGGTGTGTTCGACACGTGTCGGGGTGTGTTCGTGTCCGACACGTGTCAGACACGGATTCTTCGTCCATTTTGGCGTCTCCGTGCTTCCTAGTTGGCATCAACCCAGTCCCAGTTAAGAGCCTATTCAGATTGACTTTTCAAAAGGCTTTTTCAATTTAAAAGCTATATTAAGAATCTCATCCCAAACAGCAATAAGTAGTATATTGCTAGGCTCATTCTTTGTAAGTTTCAAATTTTGGGGCTGTTGACCCTAAAATCGGCTAGCTAAAGCCGATTCAGAAATTTATGTGTGCGGACGTGCCAGAACCAGCAATGTGGTTCGAATGTGAAAGGATCGGGTCAAACTGAGTCTCTTTTGCAAGAAAATTATATTTCAGACGATTGTATGAGAGAGAACATCAAACTCTCATGTAGGTTCAAAACTGTCTTAACGAAAAGGACTTTTAATAGTGAATGAATTGTACTGAATATGAGAATAGAATAGAATAGAGGAAGAGAAGTAGAGATAGATAGAGACAGGAAGAGATAGACAGAGAATAAGAAGATTAAGAAGGAGAAAGATTGAGAATAACAAGATTGCTAAATAAAGAAAGTAAAATTAGAGAGGGAAAGCTTGAGAAAGCAAAAATATATCAAACTAAGATTCTGAGGATGTTGGACCTCTTACAAAGAATGCTTCTACATTTATTTAAAGAAGAACGTAACCTAACAACTCCTACACTTAAGCACTCTAATTACATCATGACACTATAAAATAACCAACTACATATCCAATTTAAACTACCTCAAAGATAACCATTGGCCTTATCTAACAATTTATTTGAATATCTCTATCCATACCACTTTTGCATGCAGCTTCACACAATTTATTCCACGTGTCAAATATCCTCCACATCATTGTCCAATCATTTTGCCAAAATGGGTGTCAACAATGCCCCATAATTTTAAATGTCTTTGGTCGATAAGATATTTGAAATTTAAATTAGCACCCCTTCAGGTTACTCACTCCATATAGTGCCCAGAAATTGCCATTATAGCTCCAGTTTCCAAAATTAAAACTGACTGTCTCCAACCCATTATTTTATTTTATTTTATTTTTTTTTAGTTGGAGTCGTTAGACTCACACACACTGCCTCGACTGAGGTTCAAACCCCTAACCTCCCTTTGGGAACTAGGAGCCTTGAACCGCTAGGCCACAGGCCTGTTGGTAACCCATTATTCATAAGATAACAGAACAAAAGATAAAAAAACAAAATAGATAACTAACCAAATCTATAAGCCTCTGCTAAAATCAGCAGATCATTTCTTCCGACACTTGACAGTAAAAAGGCTAAAATGAAACCACCCCAGCCTCCAAACCATATCTTCTTCAGCAAAGGACTTAAATTTCACCCTATTATAAAAAAACTCTCACCACTTTCTTCTTGTGAACCATGAGATCAAATGCAGCTTACTGTATTTCACCTAAGTATTCTATTTCGGCAAACATGACCTCACTATAATCGACAGGAGTTGAGATATGTTATAGAATAACATTTGCCAATTTTACATTTAGCTCCATCGACAGGACTGCATCATGCCCAAAAGTCCATTGATCGGCAAGCATGACCTCACTATAATCGGCAGGCTGAAATGGAGTGTATGGATCAACTAAATTTTGTTGGTGGCTAGCGATCACATGCCCCCCGGCAGCTGCTGGTAGTGCAGGTTGGTTATTTCTCAATTGATTCTGATTGGCCCCTGGCTCTTGGGGTTTTCTGAGGCAAAATCGGCAATGCTTGCAAGTGTTGCTGATTCTGATTTTGCTGACGTAGTACCGGTGGTTGATATATTGGAATAATCGGCATCAATGTATTTCCGGTATTATCGGCGGATTGCCACCGGGTAAACTAGCAGTTACAGTTGGTTGGCTAGGCCCTGCCGTTATTGTCTGTGGCCATTGAGAAATGTTTATCAACGGTAAAGAAATACGTTGAAAAATTGATTCATGAGCTGCCGAGTTTTCAGCTTGATCATGATGACCTTGGGTAGCCAATATTTGAACCATCATCGCTTCCATTTTCTGGTTCATCTATCCCATTTGGGCAAATACTTTATGAGTTACTTCTCCCACGCCATCAATTCTCCGTATGATGGCCTCGAACATCTGAGCCAAAGGAACATCAGATGGAATAGCCGATTCTGCCACATTAGATCCTCCTGGGACAATCAGCTGGTTTTCATCTTCGATGTCATCATCTGTTGTGGCGACAGCCTTCGAAATCTTTTGCCTGGGAGGCATAATTACTACAACTCACTCACCCAGTGGGACCCACTGGGCGTGCCAAGAATGTTGACCCTAAAATCGACTGGTTTTCGACTTCGATGTCATTATCTGTTGTGGCGACAACCTTCGAATTCTTTTGCCTGGGAGGCATAATTACTACAACTCACTCACCCAGTGGGTCCCACTGGGCGTGCCAAGAATGTTGACCCTAAAATTGGTTGGCTAAAGCCGATTCAGAAATTTATATATGCAGGCGTGCCAGAACCAACAATGTGGTTCGAATGTGAAAGGATCGAGTCAAACCGAGTCTCTTTTGCAAGAAAATTATATTTCAGACGATTGTATGAGAGAGAGAACATCCAACTCTCAAGTAGGTTCAAAACTGCCTTGACGAAAAGGACTTTTAATAGTGAATGAATTGTACTGAATATGAGAATAGAATAGGGGAAGAGAAGTAGATATAGATAGAGACAGGAAGAGATAGACAGAGAATAAGAAGATTAAGAAGGAGAAAGATTGAGAATAGCAAGATTGTTAAATAAAGAAAGTAGAATTAGAGAGGGAAAGCTTGAGAAAGCAAAAATATATTAAACTAAGATTTTGAGGGTGCTGGACCTCTTACAAAGAATGTTTCTACATTTATTTATAGAAGAACGTAACCTAACAACTCCTACACTTAAGCACTCTAATTACATCATGACTGTATAAAATTAGCAACTACATATCCAATTTAAACTACTTCAAAGATAACCATTGGCATTATAATCCTTATCTACCAATTTATTTGAATTTCTCTATCCATACCACCACCTTTGCATGCAGCTTCACACAATTTATTCCACGTGTCAAATATCCTCCACATCACTGTCCAATCATTTTGCCAAAATGGGTGTCAACAGGGGCAAAATTGGCTTAACACTTTTGAGTATGGGACATTTTGGTTCATGTCTCCTCCTTTCATATTTCAAAGCAATTGTAGCTTCTCGAAGCCTCCTCTGCTGCTAGGTTGAATGGGCTTTATAGCTTAAGGGGTACCAAAAATAATACATAGAAGTAAGATTTCAGAAATACTAAATTAAAAGGAAAATGGTATTGTATTTCACTTTGGTACTTTGTGCTCTTTTCTTTTAAAAGAAATAAAAAATATTATCTTTAATTCACCCATGCATAATTATGTATTTAAAAGTATTCTTACCCTCTACTTTCAAGGAGTAATTGTGTATTTTCATTATTAAAAATAAATAAAAAATTCAAGTAGAAAGCAAGAGTATAATTTTATCAAGTTGGAGTTTTACTATCACATATCAATTGAGATTCTCTTATATATACAACCTTTTAAATGCAAATGAATGCCTGAAATTAGAACTTTCGAAATATAATGGTTGGTGACTGAAATATAAATTGACATTGACATTGACATTGACATCCAATGAAATAAAAATCTTTTGATTAGATGAAAAGTTCAAACCTGTGGTCTTTGCCAAAAATAATAACAATTTTATTGTCATTGAATTGTCTGATCTTATTAATGACCCTAAAATATATAGAATCCTAGACTTGAACTCCAATTTCCAGCTTAATGCCTCTAGAGGAGCTTTTCGTTTCATTTTAAATGGTTGACAGGAGCTTGAATTTCCTTTCATTTCGTTTTTTATTTTAATATCCGATTCCCTTGGAAAATGGAAATGGAATTCTCCAATTGAAATTTCAGTTGATTCCCTTTTGTTTCTTTCAATTGGAGGATAACCCAAGCTTTGTATAATAAACAGTAATAGTAAAGCTTCACAGATTTCTAAATGGAGTACATGAACATGTTTGTCACTGAAAAGATGCCAAACTAATCTAAGGGGTCGTTTGGATTATTTTACTGGAACTTTGTCTGGATTATAAATTTACTTTGAAAACAAGGTAGAAATGATCGACCTTGTTTCAAACAATTTGCTGAAAGTTCCCTCTAGGAAAATTTTGAGTGTTGTTTTAAAGAACACCTTGGGATTGTACCATATTTTTAAAATTAATAAATTAAATATTTGTTACGCTTTTCATTTCTTAAATTTTAGACACAAAATTTGCCAGTCAATCCATGGTACACCTCTAGGATTCCTTTCGTCTTAGGCACTTGGATTCTTTCTTTCAAAAGACAAAAAGCTCTAGCTTCCATGAAACAGAGCTTGTGTGATACTTTTTAATGAAGTTGGCAACACACTATACAGTAATTAAAGATGCATGCAAATAGAGGAAGGTTGCTATAAATACACAACACAAAAGGGTAGAAAGGCTTGCCAATAGAAACTTGAATTTGATTCTAAGTTATGCAGAGAATATATATATATGTAAGGATGAGAGAAGTGAAACTGATTGCAGCTTCCTTGAGCCTGTATTGCTGGCATTAAAGTTTAAGGGTGTGGGGTATGAGTACATACACGAAGACGTAAGAAATAAGAGTCTAATGCTTCTCAAGTTCAACCGTCTATAAGCAGATCCCTGTGCTGGTGCACAATGGCGAGCCGATTAATGAGTCACTCCTCATCCTTGAATACCTTGATGAAGCATGGAAGGGGAACCCTTTGCTGCCTGAAGATCAATATGAGAGAGCCATGGCTCGTTTTTGGGCTCAGTATGTTGATGAGAAGGTAAATGTACTCAATAAACTTCATTTATGGATTTATTCTTTCACATTTCGCTTTCTTTACTTGTAGTGAAAGAGAAAGAGAGAGAGAATTTGATTTATTTATTTAATTTTACTTATTGAAAGGAATGGAAAGAGTGGAGGGAAAAAGAAAAATCATTGCATTAAGGCCTAGATGACAGTTGATTTTTGTAAATCTTTGTTTGTGTTGTGTGCACGCGTGTGTGAGAGAGAGATTTCATTTTCTTTTTGTTTGTAGGGAGGAATGCGGAAATCATGTTGATTTTTGGTTGAGGTTGAGATTGAGTCCATAGATGACGGTTGATTTTTGTAAATCTTTGTGTGTGTTATGTGTGTGAGAGATTTCATTTTCTTTTTGTTTGTAGGGAGGAATGTGGAAAGTGGAGGTAAAAAGCAATATTCAAGGTGAGAGTTGATTTTTTTTCCTGGAATAGGTTTGTCACGTATAAAACTGTATAAAAATTCTGTTTGGTTCTGCTTTTTAAAAATTCAATTATAATCTAAAAATAATTTTCTATTTTATGAGTTTTTGAGAATTGTTTTCTGAATAACAAACAAAGCAAGTCCTAATTTCTATCGAAAAACTCTACAATTTACTGTTCCTTTTATTTTTGGTGGGGTGGACTAGTGGAGGATTTGAAATCCCCCAGGAGCTAATAACTTGCGTTCCATAGCCGCCAAAAAAAAAAAAAAAAAAAATTGATGATTAATTGAGTGGTTGATTAATATGAGTGCCCAAGAATGAATGTTTGTTTTTGCCTCTCTAGGTTTGTTTGCCACAAACCACGATGTAATGGTACTAAAGGTTTTGATGATGTTCTGCAGAATTCTTAATGGATAGTGCCTTGTGTTCTGTTATGTAACAGAAGCATTGTTTCATAATTTTCCAAGAGAAGTAGAGGACCGAAGTATGGATGTGAGTATAGAGATCCACCAAACCAACAACATTAAAGGCAACATTTTTTTGGATGTAAATTTTTTTTCAGAAAATATATATATATTTTTATTTTTTAGTGTTTGTTTGTCTTAAAATATTTATGAAGAAAAAAAAAATTAAAACCTAACAAAAATAACTTACCTATTAATTTTCTACAAATTACTTTACACGGCCCACCCGTTGGACTTGATCTCAAACTCAACCTATACTTTCGTCAAATACCAAAAAATAAAAAATATATATTTATTTATTTTACCTACAAAAAAAAAAAAAAAAAAATGAAAACTGCTTCCTTTTGTCTCCCCTCGAAAGAAGACACTAAAACTTAGCAAGAAGCTATTTTCTAAATAATATATTGAACTAGAATGAAACTATGGAAAATCACCCCACTGAGAATTTGTAGACCTTGCTAGAAGCTGTAACACCATTGGTTGCAATTTGATGATGATGATAATAATAATAATAATAATAATAATAATAAAGAGGCTAAATGCATATGGTCTACAGATTGTTGAAGATGGTACAAACAAAAGTAGGATAAGTTGAATAATGATGGCAAAAGCCAGCCAACCATAGTTGACAACCGAAAAATAAAATAAAATAAAATAGTTAATTTCAAGTGTTATTTTCTGTTATCTTAGCTAATATTTTATAATATGGTCCTGCATTTGAATTTTTTGAAGTTGGAGTATTTATTTATTATTGTTATTATTATTATTATTATTACTATACGCAACTATGCATAAATGTAACATCCTATTGAATTGTTTACCAATTCAAAAGATGATTTTTAATTGAATTTGGGAGCACACCAAAGACTACTTTCCAAAAGTAAAAGAAAGTCATTTCTCTGGAAACTATAAACCGACAAAAACAGAATATAAGGTTCACAATACACACACACACACACACACACACATATCAGCATCACATTATTAGAGAGTTGAAGTTGAGTATATTGGATTTGCAGATTTTCTTAGAATGGGA